AGTATAAGCCTAGTGTGGGAAATGCAGCAGCTACTGGTAAATTTCTAAATAAAATTAGATCCCAATAAAATTACATTAATTGAATATTTATTTACAGTGTGTGTATAGAATGAATGCAGAGTGTGTTTGTGTGTGTATATAATGAATGCAGAGTGTGTGTGTGTATGTGTGTATATATGTATATATATATGTATATGTGTATGTATATGTGTATATATATATTATAATGAATGCAGTGTGTGTAAACTGGGTGAGGGGAGGGCATTTTAACTTAAATTTTTTTATTTTAATAATATTATTTTATTTTAATATTTGCATTATTTTTATTTATTTTTTATTTTTTTGTCCCCCCTCCCTGCTTGTTGCCTGGCCAGGGAGGGGGGACAAAAAACATTTAAAATAAAATAATGCAAATATTAAAATAATAATATACTAATAAAATATTGTTATTAAAATAATATAATATTAAAATAATATTACTATATTATTTTAATATTTGCATTATTTTTTTTTAAATGTTTTTTGTCCCCCCTCCCTGGTCAGGCAACAAGCAGGGAGGGGGGACAAATTTTTTTTTTTTTTTTTTAAATCAATCAAATTTTACAATAATATAATAATAAAATAATGTTATTATTTTAATAATATTATTAAAATAAAATAATTATTAAAATAATATTAAATCCCTGGTGGTCCAGTGGCATTGGCAGTTCAGTGGGGGGGCTGGCAGTGAGCTCTTACTTACCTTCCTGCAGCTTCCCGCGGCTCTTGCGAGACTTACACTGTGAGCAGAACGGAGCTGACCGGGGAGCTGCATGGAGGAGGAGGGAGCTGGCAGGAGCTGCAGGAAGGTAAGTAAGAGCTCACTGCCAGCCCCCAACAGGACCGTCGGGCTTGTAATGAGCCTGACGGTTCTGGTCTGTATTATGGCAATATAAGTTGCCATAATACAGACTGACTTGAGTATAAGCCAAGTGGGGGTTTTTCAGCACAAAAAATGTGCTGAAAAACTTGGCTTATACTCTAGTATATACGGTACATCCGCTCTAAGCAATTAATTTGGAAAATAGCCCATTCTCACTATATAATTGAAGGTGTCTGCCAAATGGGTGCTAAGTAGTTCTCCAAAAGTTTTATAAAAAAGATTTGAGAATCCATCTGGACCCAGTTTAGTTTTTTGTTTTTTTTTAAGTTTTTTTTGATGGCCTCCCCCACCTCTTGGGCCATTATCGGACCGTTAAGCATGTCCTTTTGACTATCAGAAATTACTGGGGAATTGGTATTATCTAAATATTTATCTATACCCTTATCAATAGCAGGGAGGGCATACAACATTATATAATATGCGTTAAAACAATTTCCAATTGATTTAGGAGAAAAGTGTGTCTCTCCATCAGCTTCTATACTAGTCATTTTATTTGACATGATTTTATCTCTCAACTTCTTTAACAACTTATCCACCCTGTTGCCTTTACTATGGTTCTTCATTCTTAGTTTCTCTATAATCTTAGCTTTCTTATCCATGATTATATGGTTAATCTGTTTTTGAATCTCACTTACTGCTTCGGCATTCGTCCTAGAGGGGGTTGAGGCTCGTGTTAAATTGTCAGTGTTATTAGGTCGGCTTTTATCCTTTTTAAAATTAGTATTTAAACTTATAAAGTTACCTCTCATGGTAGGTTTTTTTTTTTTTATTCTTTATTTTTGTGGGTATACGAGAGTTAAACACGTAGTACATTATATGCAAAACGAAAGTGAAATAACATGTACAAAAATACATTTAAGATAGTCTTCATATGACATTCGTATTTGCATAGAAACTTTGCAACCCGATTTTTAATAGTTAAAGCCCTGCGTTTCTCCCTCGTGTTAGTGGCTACTAAGGCGTATGGCTACCCTGAGGGGCTAGTGTACAGCTTTATGTGCTCTGCTTAGGAATGTTGGGGCTGTAGGCGCAGCCTGGGCACTTGTATTATTAGGTGATGGAGTGTGGTTATTATGGCCGTTGGCCGTTGATAGGAATGGTGCAGGACCTCGCAAGTCTCCCAGTATGGCGCTTGTACACAGAGTGTCGGGCCTCTGCATTTGCTTCGTGTTAGGGGAGGGGCAAGTCTGCTTAACCAGGATCGGTGGGAGTCTGCTTACGGAGCCAGAGATTTAAATATATCTGTTGCCCTGTAATCTTCATAAACTTAAAAACAAACAAAAAATAAACTTTTAAGACATTAGAAAACTTAAGAAACTTTGAGAAAAGAAACCAAAAACCAAAAAGTCACTGCTTCTAAGGTGAGCGAAAAGACTAGGTAAGTTCAGCATATGAAAGGTGTCCAATTTATAGTCCTGCAGTAAGGGACCTATCAGACATTTCACAGGTGCACTTGCATGTGCGGTCGCATTTCTCATGTTAAAGGATCCGTCATCTTTGGCTCAGTTCTTCTGGGCACAAAGGGAGTTATATCGTCGACATTCCACGCAGGGTTGGCCCTTGTCGCTGCTGTAGGAAGCGAGAGTCCCAGTGACTGGAGAAACTTAGGCGCTTCAGATATGTGTGTCAAGTGGGTCGTCTTACCGGCGTGCTCTACGGTTAAACGAGGAGGGCCCCATTTATAGGGGATAGAGTTCTCGCCCAGTAGCAAGGTGATGTGGCGGAGAGACCTGCGCCAGGTGAGAGTGTGCTTTGAGAAGTCTCTGTATAGGGTCAAACTTGCTCCCTCAAACATGATGGAGGGAGAGCCTCTCGCGGCTCCCATGAGAGCCCCCCGGTCCGAGTCCCGGACAAATTTAATTAACACATCCCTCGGTGCTTCTTGGGGCGCTTTGAGTGCCTTGGGGAGGCGAAAGCAGGTGTCGATCCCTACCTGCTTCGCTTGTTTGGGAGTCAGTAAGGTTGCCACCAGCCTCCTACAATAGTGTGGTAATTCCAGGTTTCCCGCCGATTCCGGCACTCCCCGGATTCGCAGGTTTCGGGCTCTAGTTTTGTCTTCCATGCCCGCTAATTGAGCGGTCAGCGCCGCACATTGTTTTTGCAACTGTCCCAGGGCAGCGTCTGTCGCCGCTTGTGCTACTCTCGCGCCCCCGAGGGACTCCTCAACGGAAACCACCCGGCCTGCAAGTGTGGAGATCTCCCCTCGGACAAGTGCCATGTCGGCATCAAACATCGCTTTGATGTTTACCATCAGTGCCTTGATGTCTGCTTTCGTGGAGGGCGCTGCGTCGCCCAATTCTTTAGGCTGCTGGGGTGTAATATGCACCTTGCTGGAAACGTGGAAGGAATCGAGTGCGCTGTCATCGTCGGATGACTGTGTGTCGAAGGCCTCTATCGGCGCCATCTTGCCAGGTACGTGCAGCTGCGTAGGGCGCATAAAAGTGCCTATATCTTTAGATCCCGAGCCAGGATCTGCTCTGCACTTCTTCGTTTTCTTCCCCATAGTGTGGAGTGTCTTGGGGATCTGTTTGTCGGGTCCCCGAGGCGGTTTTTGTCGCTTGGATATCCCTTTTCCTGGGTCTCACGCTCGGAGCTGTGGTGAGTTGCGACTTGCTCGTTTAGGCGCTGGCTCCGCCCCCCCCTCATGGTAGCTTTAAAGGCACACCAGTTAATAGCATGAGAGGTTTCTTTAGGATTATTCTCTTCAAAAAAGCGTTCGATCTGTTCCTTAAGAGACTAAATATTTTGCGTTATATAATAATCATTCATCCTCAATGGAGTTCTACAACTGTTATTCCATTGGTCCTTCATGGACCACTCAAAATCGCCTGCTATTAGGCAGACTCCAGTCTTCAATAGTTCTACTTGTTCCAAAAAATTTCACCACTGGGAAGATATTTGTCAAATATACATTAACCAAAGTGTATTTAATTTCGTTTAATTTACATATAACAATTAGAAATCTACCTTCAGTTTCTGAATATTGATACAGTAATTCATATTCTATTGTTTGAGCGATAATAGCAACGTCTCTTTTCTTTCTGTCTTTGGTGGATGCTTGTAGTAGTATTGGGATTCTATTTCCACCCTATTTAATGTTATCAGTTCCCCTCCAATGGGTTTCTTGCAATGTTTCTCACATCTACATTTTCTTTACTCAAAAAAATCATAAACTAAAGCTTTCTTATGAGGGGAGTTTAGGCCCGCAGTATTAACTGAAATCCTTTTAACCATTGTTCCAAAGAAAATCCCTCCAATGGGATTTTTCAACATGCATGACATACCACCTTCATATTTGGTGGTAAAATTATTATTATATGTGATACGATGCAGTGCTTATCTGGGGTTATACTCCTTTTGCTTGTTACTTGTGTATTCCTGTTTAGTGATAATTCTCCTGAACTTTTTGCTACTTGATGTCAGATACTGTGGCCTGGCAGCTATTGATACAAACTATGTCATCAAACTTTTAATTTTAGTAATATTGACAGTGGGAGACTCTGTCAATGGTGGTGTCCCTTTTATATTCACAATTCTTTGTATAAGTGATGGATGAGTATGTTAGGGTATGTGGTTCACTTGAGTGTTTATGCACCATTAGATTTGATCCAGTATCACTGCTCTTGAGTGATTGCTTTGGCTGGCCCTGGATGATTACTGTGGGCGAATTGGTTGGAACTGGTCATGTGATTTTTGCATCTTGGGTATTTAAGGGTGTTTGTAGTAAGTACAACAGTTATCCTGATGAAAGTCACAATAAATATTTTAATTTGGTCGTAAAAATCCAGTGAGTGCTCTTTCAATATATAGATATAGAGAGAGAGAGATGTGTATATTAATAAAATAAAAAATGTGTGTAAGAACAATTTGATAAGTACAAATGTATTATGCCTTAGATGTGTAAAAACATTGTTGACATAGATTAACATTAGTGGATGCTTGAGTTGACTGCTAAACTGATCATGTTATTTTGTTCAACTTTCAGTGCATTTTTATATATTAAAGTAACAAATCACTCAGTAATTGTGTGTTTTAAATTTTTAATTGTAATAAAATATATTTATTTTTTTAACAGATGATGGCATCATCAAATGAGGACTTCACACTGGGAAGTGGCTTTTCTCCAAAGCCTGGCACAAGTAAATTGCAAGGCCACGGAGCAGCAGCTGATGCCTCTCCAGACTCCAAGTGTCCCATATGTCTGGACAGATTTGATAATGTATCTCACCTAGACCAATGTTTGCATCGATTCTGTTTTCGCTGCATCCAGGAATGGGCAAAAAACAAAGCAGAATGTCCTTTGTGCAAGCAACCCTTCCACTCTATTTTTCATAGCGTTCGAGCTGAGGATGACTTTAAGGAGTATGTTTTGAGGCCTACCATGAATGGCTCTTTTGCTAGTCCAGAAGGACACAGGTTTCGTTACCGTACAACGCTTACCAGGGATTATGCACCCAGGCGAACACTGAGATCTTCATCTGCACGAAGGACGTTTTCTCCTCCTGACAATGGTATTCTGTTTGAGGGAATTACAAACACAACCTCTCAGCAAAGGGGAAGTGAGATTCATCAGATGTTACGAAGGCTGGCATCCAGACGACAGGCTAGTGCAGAGGGCCGATCCATGAGGCAGATTCAAGAGCAGGAGCTGATCAATTTTAGAAGGGCGCTCTACCGGTCTGGGGTACGTGTTAGGAATATACAGGATGGAGGTCGCTATCGTGATATTTCTGCAGAGTTCTTCCGCCGAAATCCTGCTTGCCTCCATCGACTTGTTCCTTGGCTGAAGAGAGAATTAACAGTTCTATTTGGCAGTCATGGATCTCTTGTAAACATTGTGCAGCACATAATCATGAGCAATGTAACGCGATATGACCTTGAAAGTCAAGCCTTCATTGAGGATCTGCGTCCCTTCCTCCTACATCGCACAGACCACTTTCTGCATGAATTCATAAACTTTGCTAGATGCCCTTATAATATTGAGGCATATGACCAGCATGCCAATTATGATTGCCCTGCACCATCATATGAGGAAGGAAGTCATTCTGAATCATCTATTATCACAATTTCACCAGATGATGTGGATAATAGGAGCCAAGATATTCCTGAGTCTTCCGTTTCTGTGGGCCAAGCCCCATGGGATGATGAAACTCCTGGACCTTCATATTCTATAATAGAACAACCTGCAACAGCTGTGTCAACTACGGTGGATCTCTCTGAAAGTTCAGATGATGATCCCTCAAGTAGCAGGGTGGTTGTCGAGACTTCTAATGATGGTACTACTGAAAATAAGCAAGATGTATCAATTACACCTGATGACTGTGTCATTGTAGGGTATGTTAAACCACTGGCAGAAAGAACCCCAGAATTAGTGGAGCTATCTTCTGACTCAGAAAGCTCCCTATGCGAAGTGAAATGTGTAAAATCTAAAAAACCTCAGTTGAGACAGTTCATTTCAAGTGACAGTAATGTGTCCAGCAGATCCTCATCTCCTTCATCTTCTCTTTTAAATGAAAAAATGACTAGGAAAGCTAACCTTAAGGAGAACTCTTCGTCTGTAAAACATTCTTATGCCAAAAAGAAAGAAAGGAAAAAGCCACTCCATGGGTCTACTAAGAATGTACGAGAATCAAGCAAGGATAAAGGAGATTCATATAGTACCTACTTGTCGAGAAGAAGGGCAAGGTCAAGGAGCTCAGATTGTTATTCTCGTTCATCACGTAATAAAGGTCATGACAGTCGAAGGAGGCACCACAGCAAAACCCATTTAAAAAGCAGACACAAGAGCTGGCGGGGAAGGAGACGATCAAGGAGCAGAGACAGGAGTTTGTCATGGAGAAGCAGGACTGTGTCACTGACTAGTGAAAGTTCTAGAGAAAGGGGAAGGTCTAGTTCAAGAAGCAGAAACCACAGCAGAGGCCGATCAAGAAGTCGTGACAACAAAGACTTTACTGCAGACAACTACCGCAGTACATATCAATGGGAGTACACTTATTACAGCAGAAATCGGGGAAGAGATGGTAATGAGCAATCCTACAAGAGAAGAGCTTGTGGTCTAGGTCGTTATTCTAGACCATCTGATAGTACAGAATACTATATGCAGTCTTATTCTGAAAGAAAGGGAACAAGACGTGATCGGGAACATGTTACTGGCAGGCAGCATCATCGTGAAAGACGCAGATCAAGAAGTCATTCTGGCAGTCAGAGAACTACATCAGGCACTGATCACACTCGATCTGACAAGCCTAGTGGTAAAAGAAAATACAAAACACGACATCTTGAGAACCAGGAAAAAGATGGCAATATTGAAATTCTAAATAGCAAGACAACAGATGAAATTAAGCAGTCAGTTACAACCACCTCATCCAAGAGTCATGGGGCATTAAAGAATGATTTCACAGAGTCATCATCTCAAGAGCCAAAACCAAAGCTGAAGAAGAAGACAAGGAGTCCGAGTGTAGAAATCGTGTATGAGGGCAAAGCAATGGAAAGCTCAAGGCATCACAAAAAAAAGAAAAAGAAGAAACACAAGAAGAAACGCCATAGAGAACAGACACCCCGTTCTCCTGCTGCTTCTCCCATTATCATTACCATTGATAGTGACAGTGAAACTCCACTGTTGGAGGATCCACCTCGCAGTAATATTCGTACTTTAATGCCAGTTGAAAACAGTGTTGACTCTACTATTCTGTACAGCCAGTCCCCATCTACCTCTGCCACTGTCAGCACAACAGACTTAATGAGTGTAGATAGGGCAGAGCCACCTTCTACAAATTATGGATTATGTTCAAACAGTGAACATATTGATGACACCACAGGCATACTGGATGGTTTACACTTTGATAGCTCTGATGAGCAGACCCTAGCTGCAGACCAAACTTTCCCCCTTAACCCAACTCGCCAAGATGATTCATCAACGGAGTTGGATTTACTGACTGTGGAGGCTGCACAGGGTTTTACCACACCATCAACACCTTCAGGAACACCTGAACTACAAGAACTTCTTGCTGAGAATGGCCATGAAATTGAACACTTGGAAAATATTACATAGTGTCTTATGCTGCATTTATAAGAAATATTTGTGGTGTAATCTGTTATATAGACGCTTAATGCAGACCTTCTTTGCCAGTCTCATTTGTGTTCTTTAGATATGCTATTTTCTATTCAATCAATATCTTCAACAACAAACATGGGTTAATTGCTTTGTCTGTTTCCATTTTTTTTTTTTCTTCAGGTGGTAAGTGCTTGCAAAACTCAGTCTTTAAGTGTATATTGAGCCTTTGAGGATGCCTGTTCACACCCACTCTTCTCCTTTTTATAACTTATTGGCATTGCAGGACCGTAAGGTTATAAAATTACATTAGACATTGTAGTGCATCAATACAATGCACTGTTGGATTCTTGATTTCTTAGTTATTCTATTTAAAAAAACAAAACAGCTGCTCAAAAACATACTAACCTCAACCTTCTGAATCCAGGCTTAACGCACTAAAATACAATCCGTTTTATATACAAGAGAAAAAAAAACAGGAGAAAGCAAAGTGTGATTTATTGTGGAAATCCTTTATTAAAACTTAGTTCCCTCCTAAGTAAACATTGGCACACTCATAACCTTGCCCAGCTGGGTCCCAAATGCTTACAAGATTAAGCCTTTTAGTGTACATTCAACCTTTTTGATTTCCCCCTTTCACAGTAACACTTCCTCTTTTTATGTTTTATTTGTTTTGCGAAAACCTAAGGTTTTATCCAAACTGTACAGAACAAACCACTGGTTGCCTTCCAGTAGTAAGCATTGTTAAAGCCCATGCTTGATCTACTTAGTAAACCATAGGCTTCTGTAATTTCAGAAGTACTTGTATACCAGCTCTTGAGTTTACTTGTAGTTTATCAGTGTAAGATTGTTTTCAAACAACCAGAATGAATGCTAATTGGAAATTGAGATTTATTAAATGTTTGAATTGGGATAAAGTATCTTTCTGAAATGCCAAGATAATGAAAAAAATATGGATAAGTGTTGGAAGAGAGATGGATCGTATTGTTTGGTAAAATTGCATTTGACTTTGTAGAGCATACAAATTGCACTGATTTCATGAAGTATAACATTGCGAGTCTTTTTAAAGGAACACTATAGCGGTAGAAATACACACTTGTATTCCTAATGCTATAAAACCCTAGTCCTACATTAGATTTAGTCCCCCACCATTTTCCTTTTTTTTTGTTCCATGCAAGGAGTCTCTCTTGGTACTGCTTCTCTCATTGTCTACAGCAATGTCTTCGTAGACGATCAGCTTGGTGGCTTGTCATCCAATTCAGTGCTTTTCATAGAGGAGCATTGAGGATGTGATGCACATGTGTGGCAATAGCTGCACTCGCATCCAATCAAATGCTTCTAATAGGAGAGTATTAAATTCAATACTTTCCTATAAGCAGTGTTTGATTTCAACATTCTCATGGATGTCAACAGTCCCCTGCAGGGTTATTCACTACAGTAAATTTCAAATTTAAGGCCGAAGTAGCTAAACTGGAAGCATATTTAATTTTTTTTTCGTTTTGGTTATCTTTACCTTGTATTTGGAATTCACTTTGCATTCTCATTTTAGTGAATATCCCTGCTAGAGGGGTGTTTTAAACCTTCAAGATAAACATTGCCCTTTCTAACAAAAACCAATGTTTGACGTTTTAAATAGTTTAAAACTGCACCCAGACCAGCTGATTGAAATGAGATGGACTGGGTGCATTAAGTGGTGCTTTATTGGTATTCATTTTGGGGTAGTATAAATGTTAAAATTTTCTTTTAAATACAATTCTCATTTTAATGACTTGCTGCTAAAGGTGCATTCACACTTTCTATATATCGATTTTCTATATAGCTGTACTGACTATCCTTTTTGTCCCAAACATAGGACTTTTTGAGTACATGATCTCCATCAAACTGAATATTTTATCCCATTTTACAGCACTACGGAATTTTCTGCCACTATATATAAATAATAAAATAGTGAATTTGTCATGGTAGTTTTGCAGGTTTATACAGGATCATGGTTGTTACGATAATTTCATATATTCTTATTACATTCTTATAACTTATTCTTATGTTCCCTTTTAAAGCAAAATATCATAACAATTTGGATACAATCCAGTATGTGGGTTCATTTTATTGTCACATTGTTGTGTCACAAAGATAATTGCAAAATTATATTTGCATTATATTTTTGAAAATATCTTCCCTATTTTGAAATCGTATTGTTTATAGCTCAAACAGACTGTGCCAACTTAATTTACAATTTACCTTTGACTCTTGGCACTCAGTTTGAAACTTTGAGTTCATAATTGCAGCAATGTCAGCATTTGAAAATGGGGGGGAAATGTCCATGTGTATAAAAGTATTGTAACACCTGCCTCTACATAAAACTCAACCCATTTGAATAGAAATTAAACATATAACACTAATAGAAAACCTATTAAGTTATTTTATTGAACTAAAGCTGGACTCTGCAAATCCCAGGCGCCAGGTTGCACTGATGATTAGGACATTTCTTCTTTCACCTGGCATTTGTGGGCCTGTTTAGCAACCGAGGTGACCCACTACCTGAGACGAAAGGCAGGCAGCTCATGGAGCGTGAAGAGCTGAGGGAGGCAAGCGGGTGACTGAGTGCAGAAGTGACGAGGGAGCTTTTTTCTTCCTACTCTGCTCCCTTGCGTGTCTTGCGGTGATGCCAGGAGCCGGAATATGACATAATCCTGGCTTACTAAACAGTGCGTGAGCGCTGAGCAGGGAGATGATCAATGCCACTCCACTGGGACAGTATCCACTCGAGCTCTCCCAAAAGGTAGGGAGGCTTGGTGGGCAAATTTAAATTAAACTATAACTTGTGAGTGTATGTGAAAGTGTGTTGCAGTATCAGTGAGTGTGTGCACCCCCCTCCCACCTTTTACTTGGGGTACCCTAATTGACATGTACTTTGTAATAATGCAAAGTTTGTATTGTTCTTATACTGACTCTTTAATAACTGAAATGTAATTTCTCCTTATAACTATATACATCCATTATATAATAGAGCATATATATTATCATATAAATATGATAAGCTGTAGAACTGTTTCAGCTACCATTCTAGAGCTCATAATGTTCATTTTTTGTTTATTGTTAATACTGCAAAATGAATTATATTTTAAAGACCAAAGTAATTGGGAATGCACCTTTAGATGCTTGTACTATAACAAACCTTATGATTTGCATATTACTTAATATTTTATAAATTTATTTCTGAAAATATGTATATACAATCCATTTTGTATATTTCTGCTTTGTAATATATGCTGATTTGTTTTGAATGTTCAGTTAATATGCTCAGGGCGCACAAATCAAGAAATACCTGCTTTTGTGATTAAATGTTGCAATGTCATACCACCATCAGAATGTTTAAAAAAAATAAAATTTGGATGAATAAATGCTAAAAAAAAATTAAAATAAAGTTCCTCTTGTTTATAAAAGGAAGTTATTTACACTTCAGACAGCTAAAAGGGTTGCGCCAACTAAATATAATGTAGTGCATTAATCATATCATTAGGTGTCAGTCTCCCCCTGCCCCTCCCTTTATAAATTAAAAAATACTTATTAAAGGGACATTATAGTCACCCAGACCATTTCATCTCACTGAAGTGGTCTGGGTGCAGTGCCCCAGTCCCACTTAGTCCTGCAATGTAAATCATTGCAGCTTTTGAGAAACAATAATAATTAGTAATTACATTGCAGGACAAAGACTGCCTCTAGTGGTTGTCAGACAGCCATTAGAGGCACTTCCTGGTGGCTAACCAACTTTTGATCGCCTGACACTGACATCCAGCGTTCCTAAAATCCCCATAGGAAAGCATTGAAGCAACGGTTTCCTATGGGGTGGGTCTAACGCGCTTGTGGCACTTGCCACGCATGTGCATTATTACCTCAGTCAATTGAGGTGGAGCAGCGACTCAACGCCAAGAGACATCGGCACTGGAATCTGGTAAATGACTAAAATGGTTTTTTAACTCTGTATGAGCAGGGGGGACCAGAGGGCTCTCTAGTGTAAGGAATACAAGTTTGTATTACTTACATTATAGAATCACTTAAAGCTTACCTGGAATCCAGCACCAAGAAAGGTCCCCTTACATTTCATGCCCAGTCTGAACCTTCCCTTCCTGGGGTCCCATAAAATGCTATATGGGGCTGCAACTAACTTTCATTCAGACCTACTTTCACAAGCAGCCCACATTCATAAGTATACACAATACCACAAACTTCTCATGAACATATACAATATAAAAGCCCACATATAAACACATTACAAAGCAACAGCACCACCCATAAAGAACACAAGCACAATAAGGCAACATACACACCTCAAAAAATAGGACTGACACCAAGGGACTTCAAGATCGTGTTTTAACAGAGTATTAACAAAAGATTGTCTAACACTGGTCTACATTAATACTCTGCACATAAAACATGATATTTGAGCGTGCCATGATTCTTCCCACTCTTCCAACTGGAAAATAACCTTTTGGTATTCTGCATCTCAGTACTTTTTCACCTTATTTTGCTGAAGGAAATGTGTTCATTTCAGCTCTATATTCATATATGTATATTAAAAGTGATAGAGAGTTGGGGCAGAACTAGAATTGGACTCAACTTTAAAACCATGTTTACTACTCAATGAAAGCTAGAATAGTGTTTCTTACAGCAGTCTTTTAGGAACTATGTTTAACCAATATCACATTTGAACACTGTTTAAGTATATTTAAGTTTTGTGTTGCCTTTGGATCTTGAGGATTGGTTTTATGTGAATGCTTCCTCAGGGTCATCTTGTGTTTTGAATGACTAAATACGTAAGATCATGTATTACACCTTTGCTATTGCTCTGGCCCATGTACCAAGACAAACAGTGTGGATCGCCAGAGTTGTCATTCATATCTGGGTATGCAAACTTTGTCACTTCAGATTTTCTGGACTACATCTCCCCAAATGCTCTGCCTTTATTTTTGTTATAAGAGCATTATGGGACATGTAGTCTAAAACATCTGGAGTGCCAACGGTTTCTTTCCTCCTGCCCTATTTGCTCCTATATTGATAAATTGAACCTTTTTATTTTCAATACATGATTCCCCCTCCAATTTGCACACTTACTATCATCCTTCCTGTGTATCCATACCCAAACTATTCAGATGAAGTCGCTGGTGCTAATTTTTCTGCATGTGTTTTTAAAAAAAAAAAATGTGCCTCATATAATTTTGAAATCTTTTTTTTCCCCCCCACATATTTGTCATGTTGGTCTTTTTTTCAATAAAGGTTTTCTTCCATGTTTCTTTGTAAAACATGCACAGATGTGTGACCATAGACTCTTCCTATCTACATATAATGTGAAATATGTTTTGCTGTAGAAACCTTCTTCCATTCGACATTGGAAATTAATCTGTTCAACAATATTTGGACAAGTGGGTGAAGAAGGGATTTTCCAATTCCTAGCCATGACTAGTTTAGTGGCCATGAAAATTATTTTAAATTCCTGTTTACAATTTGAAAAATCATTATGAAATAAAAATGTTTGGGGAGATCGTATTATTCTTTGATTGCATATTGTTGAGACAATATCCAAGAGCGTTCTTTTAATTTCTGTTAATATTTCTTTCCCATTTTATTATTGATTGGGGTTTTTCTGTCATATGGTTCCTTAAACCCTTAAGGACTGAGCCAAATGTACACGTTTTGATCAAAATAAAATGTTAAACAAAACTTGGAATTTTACTATTTGCCTGTTCAACCGTAATTCACTGCTTTCATATTATGTTCACCCACACTTATATATAATATTTTCAGGAGAAAAAGGGCTTTCATTTAACATCAAATATTTAGCTATGAGACATAATTTAATATGAATAAAATCTAAAAAAAAATTGAGAAATTAAGAAATGTTGTTTTCTTTTAGTTCTGCATGACATTTTAACTGTTAATATCATAATACTGTTTGCTGAATACAAATGTGTATTTTATTGCAGTAAAAGCAATGTCTCACTTGTAAAACAGTACCCCCTATGTACAGGTTATATGGTGTTTTGGGAAGTTACAGGGTCAAATATAGCATGTTATATTTTTCAGTTTTTTCACACTGAAATTCGCCAGATTGGTTACGTTGCCCTTGAGATCGTATGGTAGCCCAGGAATGAGAATTACCCCCATGATGGCATACCATTTGCAAAAGTAGACAACCCAAGGTATTGCAAATGGGGTATGTCCAGTCTTTTTTAGTAGCCACTTAGTCACAAACACTGGCCAATATTAGCGTTAATATTTGTGTGTGAAAAATGCAAAAAACTAATTTGAACGCCAATTTTGGCCAGTGTTTGTGAATAAGTGGATACTAAAAAAAGACTGGACAAACCTCATTTGCAATACCTTGGGTTCTCTACTTTTGCAAATGGTATGCCATCATGGGGGTAATTCTCATTCCTGGGCTACCATACGGTCTCAAAAGCAACGAAACCAATCTGGCGAATTTCAATGTGAAAAAACTGAAACACAAGCCTTATATTTGACTCTAACTTTTGAAAACATCATAAAACCTGTACATAAGGGGAACTGTTATAATCAGGAGACTAAGCTGAACACAAATATTAGTGTTTCAAAACCATACAACGTATCACAACAATATCGTCAGTGTGGGTGCCGTTTTTGTGTGGGGAAAAAAGCAAAAAAGTCACTTTCACTGATATCATTGTAATACATTTCACTGCTTTGAAACACCTAAGATTTCTGTTCAGCGAAGTCTCCTGTGTAAAACAGTACCCCCAATATACAGGGTTAAATAACTAGCAAATTAAATTCTCTGGATTATCAGGCAGGTCCCGCAAATTGTAATTAATAAAGTGACTTAATTATTAAATATATACTTAGAATTAAAATATATTTTTATATATATCTGTATTTTAATTATTTTTTATATATAACTTCGTTCTAAGTGTATTTTGAGATCCATATATATATATTAATATCAAAATACAGTTAGAATGAAATTACACATTTTTTCATTTTCCATTTCTACTGTATTTATATATTGAGATGTTTATCTCAATTATATTAAAATACACTGTGTGTGTGTATGTGTGTATGTGTATGTATATATATATCGATCATATATGTGATCTAAATATATACCTTTTTGCATATTTGTGCTGTTGTGAGGGATTCTATTCAGGGGGTTGAATAAGTTTGAGATTGGAGAAGTCATTATAAGTTGCATTTTCAGTTGAATTTGCGAAAAACACTTGAAGCATTTGTTGTTTTGAGCTATTTCAATTGCTTTTGTTTGATTTGTTCATTGCAAACAGCTGAAAGTCTGTAAATTTTGAATAAACCTGATTTTCAATGGGAGTTGAATAATTTTGATTACAACTGTGGTTCCCTCTTGTTCTTTAGTTCATATTTAGGGTTAGGGGTACTAGGCTTTAACTCTAGAATGTAAGGAGTCACACCTCACAGCAACTCCGCTTCTAGAAGTTGTCTCTCCTAATGGATTATATTTAATGTGTATATACCAAGCCTGTCGGGATATAGAATTACATAGCTCATAAATAGCTGTTATGATTCAGATTATATAAACCCCCTGGCCTGGCAGTTCCTTGGGGCTGCTAAATAATCATGCAACCTCCAGCCCATGCAACATTTAAATGATTAAAGGACCACTATACATGCTCGTTTTCCTGGCACTATAGTGCCCTGAGGGTGCCCCCTCCCGCCAGGCTCTGGGTAGAGGAAGGGGTTAAACACTCACCTTTCTCCAGCGCTGGGCCGCCTCTTCGCCTCCTCCTCTTCGGCTGAATGCGCATGCACGGCAGGAGCTGCGCGCGCATTCAGTCAGTCTCGTAGGAAAGCATTCATAATGCTTTCCTATGGACGCTTGCGTCTTCTCACTGTGATTTTCACAGTGAGAAGCACACAAAAGCTTCTAGCGGCTGTCAATGAGACAGCCACTAGAGGCTGGATTAACCTATTTATAAACATAGCAGTTTCTCTGAATGGGTTAACCCTAGCTGGACCAGGCACCCAGACCACTTTATTAAGCTGAAGTGGTCTGGGTGCCTAGAGTGGTCCTTTAAGATTTAAAGCAAAAAGTGTACCTACCTTCCAGCAAGATTTACCCCAGGGACTGGATTACCTGAGGAGGAATAGAAGTTGTGGCCCCTGCTAGATACAGACTGGATGCAGACGTACCTGACAGGTAGCACTATTGTTGCGGGAAAACACTGAAGAAGCCACACACAGAGAGTCCGGATGCAGGTCAATTCAGGAAGCAAAAAGATTTATTCAACTGTCTGGGTCTCAGGCTGACTCTTGTCCAAGGTCTCAGCACTGGTGTCTTGAATTACAGGCTTTTTATAGACTATACATCCTCCAACTGTACCCTTACACCAAACAGGATTACCTTATATGGATAGGCAGTATGGGACTAGGAGAGAATGGAATGTGGTTTCAGTTCTTACACGTGCTCATTACATTGATGACCGTATCTATGCCACATGGAAATTTTAGGCCTAGTAATTTCTGGGCTAAGTTGAGATCCCATTACATTCCCCCCTTTGATGCTTCTGGTACCATATACTTCGGATGCATCACTTACCATACATTGCTAAAACCAATCAGATAATTAAAAAGCAGGAGAGACCTATGGAGCTTTTAACTTGGCCCTGGGGGCTTTTATGTAAACTTAAATAACTAATTACAGGTTACCTCTCTCTGGACTAGAGGTTCGTATTTCCAGATGGCCATTACATGTGCTGCCGTCTTCCTCTCAATGGTGTTTTTAATAACACTCCGTATAGGACGAATAATTAAAGGAATTAGACAGGGTATTAAGAGGCATAAACTGATGATAAAAACACTCCCCCTGCCAGTGCCTTTAACCCTCCAAACTGTTTAAACCAGCTTTTGAACCAACTACCTGGATTATACCCGTTCCTGATCTGAGTAAGTACGTGCGTCAATTTAACAATGTGGTTAGTAAGGTCAACTACAGCTTGTCCTTCATCTATCTGAAGGCAACAGTTACTTAAATTAAATTTTCCACACACTCCTACTTCTGCTGCTAATAAACAGGCAAGAGCCAGCCTGTTTTGATAAATGGTTGATCTCATACGGGTATCCTGTTTGGCCAGGAGGTTGAGAGCTTCAGCTGTTTTATGAGTAACAATCTCAACCACCGCCTGTAATCTTATTATAAGGTTTAGCATGTATGTGGGGGTTCGGTAACCATAAGTGCCATCTTCAGCCCTGATAGCAGGTCCATAATAATTAATAATTCGCTGGGGTGGCCGTTCATCGTCCTTCCAGTTGACCATATTCAGTGGTGCCCATTTTTTCCTATAGTTAGTATCATACACTTTAACTTCTAAGGTCTCTTCTGTCTGGATGGGCAAGAAAAAAAAAAGGATGGTTTGAGGGTTGGTAGGTAACCTTTGGATTATTAGGTCTTGATCTACCATTTTTCCCCAGGTAGCCCTACCTACACATGACCAAAATGGGCAAAAGTTGAAATCCCTGTTTGCACAATTAGGATCAGTGGTTCTTCTACTAGGGCATAGGTATTTATCGTTGAACCCATAGGTTCATTCCCACTTAAGGTTGCTGCATATATTCCAAGGTTTCTGCTACCAGAAATTGCCTTACATGCATCAAATAATAGGATGCCTAGGGATGTGGTAGTACTTAATAGAGTCTTATTTATCAAAGTCCCCTGGGAATGAGAGTTTCGAAGAACCAACCAAATTGTACGAGGTTGGAATTGGGGATCAAAACATTTGGGTTCATCTTAGGCTGGCTGCTAATATACACTATAATCAGTGTCTAGGTACGAATGCCAGATGAGAGTCTGAGACATTTGATTGCCTGTCTTCGTAGTCTTAATGCAACTGTCACAACTTTTTAAATCTAATTCTACACATTCCATACATGTTATTAAAATACTAAGGCACAAAAAGAAACACATCATAACAGAAGTCAGCCTCCAAATCTTTGATCGTGCGACGGCACCTTTAGCTTCGGGATGTGAGGGCTGCAAGAAACATAGTTTGTCTGATCCACTCTTCCCTTCACAGAGTTCCCTTCGAGACACTCTGACTATGAAACATTGGTAGGTGGTCAGGCATTATTATGTTTGTAGTTTGTAGCCCTTGACGTCCTCGTAGTTAAGTTACACAGGAATGGACTTCCAATTCTGGGGTTGCTTTAGTCATGCTCCAGTGACTGAGTGGTTTGCTTCAACTGGATCCTACAAGGATTCTCAGGATCAGGGGTAGCCTTCCAAGATTCTGTCGCTGGTTTAACCGTAGAGTGGTGAGTCCAGGGAGTCACTTCTGACACCTTTACAGCTGTTGGGGTAGATAAAAGAACAGTGTAAGGACCTCTCCATTTAAGGCCCAAGAGAACAGTATTCCATTCTTTTATCCACACTCGGTCACCCGGGTGATGAAAGTAGACGGGTGGATATATGTTAACAGGCAACCTATCTTGTACCCATTTCTGAACCTCCTCCATAGTTTTACCCAATTCTATAACCTGCTGCTGGGTAATGCTATCACCTCACTGACATAAATTGCCTCATAGATGACTGGTTATGGGTGCTGGACGCCCATACATGATTTCAAATGGGGACAACCCTATACGTCTGGTGGGGGTACTGCGAATGTGCAACAGTGCTGGCAATAGGACATTCCATTTGAGATGAGTCTCTTGGCATATTTCGGCCAGCTGGGTCTTTATTGTCCGATTTATCCTTTCCACTTTTCCAGAGCCTTGAGGTCTATAGGCAGTATGTAGTCTCCACTTGATGCCAAGTACATGTGTCAGCTGTTGTAAACATTGATGGAA